ACCCCATTCCTGGCAAAGGAAAAGAGGAAAACTAAAAAGTAAGCTGAGTGAGTTGGAACAAAGAAAAGTCAGCTAGTTCACATTGAAGCCAGCCATTGCTAGCAAGCTTCTTGCCTTTTCTGAAATTCTAGCCTGTTGGGGATATAGCTTACAAATACCCTGCTGGTCTGTGAGAATTCTGAGGAAAATAATGACCACAGAAAAGACTGTGGCAAGTCCTAGAATAAGATACATCTTCTAGGGCATTTCCTGCCCATTAAACAGGCAAAGCAGATACCCACTGGGGAGATGTGCATTTGCCTGGGGCAGAGACCAAGGGAGTAGCTGGAGCTCTGAGATATGGGCAGAAGAGCTTACATCCCTTATTGCAGAGGAAGATCCTCTGTGGTGGTGATGGGAGGAAAATGCCTCCCTCCCACTAATCCCTCAGAGAAGATTAACACAGGTGGCATTTTACTCCATAGAGAACTAGCAGAGCTTACCACCTCCCTAGAAATCTGTGTGTGTGACCTCAAGCAGGAGGCTCTCCCAACACAAGGCTCAGATTTCAGATTATTGAAGGCTACCCTTCAGGTTAATAATAATAATAGAAGCTGATATGATCAATCTAAGAAACTGCTGATATCTTTGTTCCCTCCCTCATCTTACCCTCTGGGCAAATAGACTTCAATAAAATCAGAGTGGAGCAAACACTCTGGGCCATTGCCGGAATCCCACAATGGGCAACGGACCCCTGAGCTCCCACTTTTAATTCTGCTCTGTCTCTTGTCTTCCTTTACCTTCACTTCTAACTCTGTATTTCTTCAGTCTATCACTGCCAGTTTCCACGGGTCCTGCGGTGTGTCGGGGGACCAGCACACAGTTTGGGGGGTGAGCTGTAAGAATCATGGAACTTCACAGCATATAGAGATGTAATTTGTTTCTCAACTGCAGAGGAAACAGCAGTGTTGAGGCAGAGGCATGGGGGCTTTTATCCTTTAAACTAGTAAGTGGAATGATTATCCAGCTGAAGTTGAACTGATGATTTTATTATTTAATTATTCTAAGGGAAAATGGATACACAAGTCTAAGTAAATATCTAGTAATTAATTTGGAAGTGTGTAAACAGATGTAATTATCCAACTTTGATAGAGACCTAATGGAACTGTCTCCGAGTGTGGTCTCCTCCAGACAAGCCCCTCGGGAGGCCACTTTGCCTGTGGGTCTACTGTGAGGAAGATGAGTGACTGTTCAAAATAGATCATCTGTCAATTTTCCTTGGAAATCGTTTTCTCGTATGGTCATTTCTTAGTTATGTTGGTATTTACCAAATTTCTATTAAAAATTTAACTTTAAAAAAATTTAACTTTACACTTAGCTGGACAATCCACAAAAAAACCCTCAATTCCCTTATAATCTGTCTAAATCCACCTGGGATCCATCTGGCCTACTCCAAATGTTTCACACATAAGGAGGACATGTTATTATTCCTTAAGTATTTTTTTACCACTAGTGTGTTATGCTCTTCAGAATATGTACAGCATTTTTTTTTTTTTTTTTGAGACAGAGTCTCAAGCTGTCCCCCTGGGTACAGGGCCATGGTGTCACAGTTCACAGCAACCTCAAACTCTTGGGTCTAAGTGATTCTTGTTAAACCCAAGTTTAAGCATCTCGTTAAATCCAAGTAGCTTGCCTCAGCCTCCCAAGTAGCTGAGACTGCAGGTGCCCACCACAATGCCTGGCCAGACTATTTTTTGGTTGCAGTTGTCACTGTTGCTCTAGCTGGCCCGGGCTGGGTTCAAACCACTGTCATTGGTGTATGTGGCCAGCACCCTACCCATTGAGCTACAGGCACTGCCCTAGAGTGCTTTTTTATTTTTTATTTATTTTATTTTTATTTTTTTTGAGACAGAGTCTCACTGTCACCCTGGGTAGAGTGCTGTGACATCACAGCTCACAGCAACCTCAAACTCCTGGGCTGAAGCGATTCTCTTGCCTCAACCTCTGAAGTCGCTGGGACTACACGAACCCACCACAACTCCCGGCTATTTTTTTGGTTGCAGTTGCCATTGTTGTTTGGCAGGCCCAGGCTGGATCTGAACCTGCCAGGTCTAGTGTATGTGGCTGGTGCTCAAGCTGCTTGAGCTATAGGTGCCGAGCCTAGAGTGCTTTTTTAGAGCATCAGGTTTCCCTCTGTTTCCAGTCATCCTCTACCCCACGAGTGTCAGGTACAGCCAGGTATGAGGGGCCCTCTGGTGACACCACCCTGACATCCCTGGACTCTCCTGTTCAAGCACAGTAAACCGAGGCATAGAAGAGTCAAATTCACATCAGGACCATCCAGACAACACTGGCCAAACAAGTCTCTTCCAAATTTAATGTATCTCAAGAAAAATAAAAACATTTTCATTTAACAATGTACATAAAAGCCTTAAAGTGTAAACGGCAAGTTTTACTTGAGGAGTGGTCGTCACCACCACACACAAGCCACACATAGCGCTCCCTGGAGCAGTCTCGGGGACCTTTCCCGTCACACTTGACTTGGGGTTGTGTGTGTCACTGTTTCACTCGGACAGCTCGGCTACTTGAAAGCAGATTATAATTCACTATCACACTCTGGGATTTTTGCAAATAAAATATATCATGAGGCAGAATAGAAAAAGGAGAATTAAGGTGCACAACTGACGTTCACCCACAGGACCGATACTTCCCACGTGTGTGCTCATTACTGTGCTTGGAAAGTGCCAGCATCCTCATAAATATTTTGATTCTATAAGGGTACAAAATCCAAATTTTGCCAACTTTGAAAAGTGACATTTTAGTGACACTGCCTAAGGATTTCCCTGAACGCATAAGCAATGCTTTTAATACAATGAACCATTTCAGTCTCCAGGAGAATCTTCGTATCTCAGAGGTAAAGATTTCCTGAGGACCGTGAGAAAATGTGTGGGTTCCTGGGTGGAGAGAAAGAAAAGTACAAAATGCAAGACCAGCTGAGAACTCACCCTGTGGAGGTGACGAAACGTGACAGGGCTGTCCCATCCCAAAATATTTCTATCCTCTTATAAACTGCTGAAATGTTTGGGTTTTTTTTTCCATTTTACTTGGAAACACTGCCCTTCTTAGTGAATGAGACTCAGCAGGTTATGAGGATCTCTCTTAAAAAATGCAACCCCTAATTGCACAATGCAGGTGTCAAGTAGAGTTTCAGACTTTTCTCAGGGAAGAGAATCACAAGTCATTCTTTCTCTCCACAGAAAAGTCTGGTCACTTTGCTTCTTCTCAGCATCACATGGTAGTGGCTCCTTAGAAGACCCCACCTGGGAGAGGAGGGAGCAACACTCACAGGCACACACAAGGGCATTCAGAGACGGAAGACGGTGCAAAAACTGAAGAGAGAAATCTCGTTCGTAGGGGAAGGGGTGGAAAGCTGCACTGTCCTTCCTCCAACCTGCTCACCTGTTCCAAGACCCCACACTGAGGCAGGTACCTTCCATATTATAGGGCAGCTCCGTTAGGGTCTAGCCTGCCGTGGGAGGCTGGGCCTGGGAACTCAGTCACCAAGCCAGACTGTCCTTTCTTTGGGAAAAGTGTTTTCAAGTCTGCCTGTTATCCGGGTGTTTGGAACATGCTAACAAATTGCTTCAAAACCAACTACTAACACGCACAACTGGATGGGTCTCCAGGGCATTATGCCGAGTGAAAAAAGGCAATCTCAAAAATGTCACATGCTGTATTATTCCATTTATATAACATTTGTGAAGTGGCAAAATAATAAGACATAGAAACGAATCAGTGTTGGCGGGGGCTGGGGCTGGTGGTGGACAGGCAGGTGTGTGAGTGACATGGTGGTGGTGGTGAAGTCAGGGCAATGGTGGCTACATGAATTTACACTTGTCACAAAATCAGAGAGAAACAGACATGTTTACCAGTGTTAGTTTCCTAGTGTTGACACTGCACCTTATCTAAAAAGTAACTGGAGATGCTGGGAAGACCCACTCTACTGTCTTAGCAACTTCCTGTGAACCTACTTCAGTTATTGAATTACTTATTTCAGTTAAATTATTTCTATTAGAAAGAGAAGACCTTCGTAAGATTACTCACTTGTGGACAGTATGTGAGGTGTTTTCTCAGTTTTAACATGTAATCAACATGCTTTGACTCTCCCAATACATTCTACAATATATATAAAAAACCCCGAATCTTTACATGTATAAGGAATAAAAAATGCCCAGCATTTGTGTCAGCAGGAAGAAACTTTTGTATTGCACACTCATATGTAATAGTATTTCCTACTGACATTTATTATCTAATGATACTTAGGCACTGCAGAGTTAATGTCTCACAGCAAATCTAATAATCTTCAAATCTAATATCCCTTTGTGTAAGTGCAGGGATTGAAAATACAATCAAGAGTTAATGCTTTAAGGCCATATATATATATATATATATATATTTTTTTTTTTTTTGAGACAGAGCCTCAAGCTGTCTCCCTGGGTAGAGTGCCATGGCTTCACTGCTCACAGCAATCTCCAACTCCTGGGCTCAAGCGAGTCTCCTGTCTCAGCCTCCCAAGTAGCTGGGACCACAGGCGCCCGCCAAAACGCCTGGCTATTTTTTGGTTGCAGCCGTCATTGTTGTTTTTGGCGGGTCCGGGCTGGGGATTCGAACCCGCCACCTTAGGTGTATGTGGCTGGCACCTTAGCCACTTGAGCCACAGGCGCAGAGGCTAAGGCCATATATTGAGGCTATTTCAGTTATTTGAAAATGTGTATAAGCAACAAAGACACTTTTGCAAAATGTAGCACAAATTGATCACAACTGGCACCTTAGAGAAGCTATTACACACCAACCAGACATTCAAACTGGCACCTTAAAACTTATCGCAGTGATTCTACTACAGGCTGGGTTATTGCTCAACACTACCCATTTCAAAACATCAACAAATTCTCACTCTTTTGTTATCTTTCGAGCAAGGTGACATCACGATAAAACTTTTTAATTTAAACTTTTCTTCCGTGTTAAAAGTGAAATTTATTACAAGTGCAAGTGTCATTATTAAAAATGCTGGTTAAAATTACGAAGTATCTGAATAATGCTTCTAATATAAATATTGGAAATAACAGCTTTGACAATTTGATAGGTACACAGAACATTGAGAACATAAAATCCAGTGCAAGGCCACATATCCCCTTAGGTATCCTTCTGGTCCCAGTGTCACAGTAGCTAACTACTCAGATCACGAGGTCACAAACCTGAAGGTTTGAGTGTTTTGAATGTGTTTAGTCATTATGCTGGCAGAATGTTTAAAAATGTTTAAAAACCTCTGGCTGTATTCAGATCAAGTGGTTCTATTTCTGATTCTTCCCTTTTTCAATAGGTTAGACTGTGACTATAGGACCCGACATGACATTAATCCTGATGACGGCTCAGAAGGTGGCATAAAGTCATGTATGAGAGTCCAGGATATGAGTGACAATGGCCACCTCTACGTGTGCACTGACTGAGCCGGCCCACCCCCTTGTGTGGGCTCACCTGGCTCTTATGTCTCTTTGGGAAGGAAAGTCCAGGGCAAATCACAACTGCCAAGGGGGGGCCTAGGCAAGGAGCTGCTCGGAGAAGGGCCAGATTATAAGGGGACATTGGAAAGTTTCACCTCTATTCTGCCAACCCCTGTTAAAGCAGGAGCTGGTGTCAGCTCAGCCCCTTCCCCTCCTCCCAGGGCAGCCCTGTGCAAACAGCTGCTGCCTTCAGAGGACATCTACTGTCACCATCCCTGCTGGAGACACCCATGCCTGCTGGGGACACCTCTGGGGGTGTGCTGTGGTATGTCTTGTTTTGTTTTTTTAACTGATTTTTTATTATGTATTGACAAATGATAGTTATATATATTTATAAGGTACAAAGTGGTGTTATGTTTTTTCAGTAAAATGTGGAATGATTAAGTCAAGCTCATTAACATACACATCACCTGAAATATCGAATGCTATTTGTGATGAGAACATTAGAAATTTACTCTTAGCAATACTGGACACGTACTGTACTGTTGCCTCCTCTACTCAGCATGCTGTGTGGCCGGCCGGCCTCACAGTGATCAGACTATTCCTCCCATCTAACCAAGACGTGGTGCCCTTCCAAGACCATCTCCCCATTCCCAGCGCAGTTTTCACAGATTTGCAGAACAGCCCGTATTGTGTAGATCTGAACACTTCATAACACAAGAGTCTGGGCCCACCCTCAACATGAGGGCAGGTGAGACATTTCTTACAAGCAAGTGGATGACACGGAGAGATCGGTGGTGCGGTGGGGACGGCCACAGGGAAGTGGTGCCGCCTCCTCGGTGATGGCGTCCACGTGCGGGGCTCACCGACACGCCGGTGTGGGTGTGGGCTCGGGTGTGACCTGCAGACTCTGTGTCTCTGACACACTCCTGGGAAAGGTCTGTGCTCCTGGTCCAGGGTCCCGCTTGAAGAAACAAAGGTCTTTGGCGCAGAGAGAGCTGCCTCTGCCTTTTCAGCCCAACACCTGCCTCCCATCACCTGCCACTTGTCACTTGCCTCCCGTCACCTGCCTTCCGGAGCACATCCCCTGCAAATTCTGGCCTGCCACGGCGTCTGTAAGACACTTCTCAGAGCACCAAGACTACGCAAACAGCAAAAAGTAACATAATTTGACTTTAGTAACATAATCTAAACTCCAGAGGTCTATTTACAGAGAATAAAACTAATCTTTTACTCATGAAGTATTCCTTAAAGTGAACATGATATAAAGGTATAAAAAACCCAGCATATTAAATTTCATAGTAAAATGCCACAGGTGCGCCCATACACTTAAGAAACTCAACACATTCTGTCAAACTAAGGTGCTACCACCGTTCCCAGCTGAAATCATCTTCTCTTCCAAATACAAGGAAAAATCCTTGAATTGTAAGGAAAATGACTGCGTTCCCTGCCAGCACAAGGCCACAGGCTCCCCATTTGATCTGAAACACAAAAAAAGAAGGATTAAATCCTCATTTCCTTCACACTGCGCTTTTTGCAGATCTCTGTTATTTTCTACATTAGGAATATCCAATGAAATATCACACAAAGCTGCTAAAAGGCTTAATGCTGAACAGGCAGAAACAGTAAATTGTTCAGTAATTAGACTAATTACTTCTGCGATGCTTGTTAATTAAGTCTGGTATAACCACTAACATTTTCCTTATTAGTCATATTTCTCTAGCTATTTTTAATTGTTCGTGATTGCCTTAAGTAAAATACAAGTAGTAAGATAACAAACAGTCCAATTATAATACTGGGTACGGAAAGTTCTGCATGTATCAACTTCTTTCATAGAAAATAGAAACTGGAGAGTTATGGATTCACTTGTTTTAGAGAAGAAAACGACTTTAAATAATACTCTGAATACCGATGAAAGCAGTTTTCCAGCTGGGCTGAGGGTTCTGCAGAAGCTCAGCTGGGAGTGAGAGCACCCTCTAGTGGGCATTTTTGTTTTAATTTAACCAACAGAAATATCAAAGTTTCTTTATAAAATAAGATGGCAGTATTAAAGGGGGAAGAAATTCTGTATAAATATTCACAGTAGCACTTAAGAAGTGATAGAATAAAGAACAGAATAAAGTCGTGACACAGAAGAATAAAATCACGACAATCTTGTGTTCAAAACCTTTGATGCTTCCTCCCTATCTGAACAGAGCTCGCCCTGGTGGTGTCCAAGTCCCTGCTAATCAGGCTTCACAGTCTTTCTAACCATGATGGCAACTGCTTGCTTTCTGGCCCATCGTAACGGCCTGTCCTTCATTCCACATTCTGCATTTCCACACCAGGGTGTCACTCCACGCGATGCCTTTCCCACTTCAATCCAAATACCCTCATCCCTGGAGGCCCATATCTGGTGCCACCAGAACGTCTCTGCATTCTGATTGTTTCAGTGACCCCCACAGCACCCCGGGAGGGTACGGACCATCGAGCTAGTTTTGTGTTCTTTAGGAGCAGAGCTAGTACCTGGCTTTTATTTCTGGCATTTCATGAACAGCAGATGTTCTGAAGATACTCAATGAATAAACAAGGTCTGTGCATATCTGATCTCCAATGCCCCAAATAAGAGTCTCATAAAATTAAAACAGAATGCAGGTGGGGGATTAAAACAGATAGTATAAAGGCAGAGAGCACCAAACCGAAACAAAATACACTGTAATGTATTTTGGAGAAAAAAAAGAATATTTTTATATTGGATGTGAAGATGTCATCTCAGTCATCATCTCTCCCAGATGCTACACAGTTGTCCCCTGAATATATAACTATTGTATTCAGTTGAGAATTGAGTCCAGGATCCCATTTGCAGGATAAGATTTTGATAAGATTTGGTAACTGGAAAAGTACTGCTAATGTGGTCCCCGTGTTATGCTGTAAGAGTTAAGAGGTAGGGATTTACTTGAGAACAATTCCAGAGAACAGATTAAAGTAGAAAAAGCAAGAAATGAACTTGGTTGTAAGAGAAACAACAAAGCACTCTGGGAACATGGCTGAGACGCTGACAGGCAGATCTAAGTGGAGGGAGTGGGGAGACCAGTGCAGAGATTGTAAGCAATGAAAACAGAACTGAGGTCCTGGACGGAGGCCTTGCAAGTAAACTCAGCAACAGTTGAGCAAAACAATAGAAAACAGAACTTACCACAGCCACACGAGCAAGAATAACAGGAAACCCAAAGGCAGAAACAACAATTCCAGTAGTGAAGAAATACGCCAGTTCCCGGCAGGCACTGCTGGTTGCATCAGAGTCGTATGTGACTCTTTTGGCAATGAAATAGGGAATGGGGGAGATGGCATGGAAAATCAGGACGAACAGGGGCCAGTACACGCTGTCAGGTGGACCCAGGCAAGACCCAAAGAGAAAAGGTACATTTTAAACAGTTACATTTTAAATGTTTTACATTTTTAAATGAAATGCTACTATTTCAAAATTATTGTAATTTTAAATGTCTAAGTCAGAAAATCAGTCATGAATATTATAATGTAAGATGATTTCTACCCAGAATAGATAAGTAGTGATGATTTAAATTAATAGTCCCTTAACACATAGGTAGATCATATTGTAAGACACAACCCTAGGACATAGATCTAGAAACTTCTCTGTTGTCTGTTACTAAGTGGCAATTTTTTTTTTTTGAGACAGAGCCTCAAGCTGTCCCCCTGGGGAGAGTGATGTGGCATCATAGCTCACAGCAACCTACAACTCTTGGGCTCAAGCGAGTCTCTTGCCTCAGCCTCCCAAGTAGCTGGGACCACATGCGCCAGCCACAGCGCCCGGCTATTTTTTGGTTGCAGCCGTCATTGTTGTTTGGCAGGGCCTGGGCTAGATTCGAACCCGCCACCTTAGGTGTATGTGGCTGGCGCCTTAGCCACTTGAGCCACAGGCGCCGAGCCGGCAATTTCTTTAAAGACAGAATTTTAACTTTGCCGTCCCTGCTTTCCCTCTAGAACACAGCCCTGCTGTGGGTTTGTACAGACTCAGTCAATAAAGACCTTTTTGGTACACACACACTGGACATCTTCCCATGGCTTAGAATTAAACCCAAAGCCCTGCCCCGGCCTCGCAGACTCACATGATGTGGTACTGTCTGTTTCTTCCCTTCCTTTCATGTCATCGTCCCTTCGTTTGTTTAATCTGTAGCCACCCAGCCTCCTGTCTGTTGCTGGAACACTCTGAGCCCACGGCTGCTTTCAGGGCCTTTGCACAGCTGTGCCCTCTGTTTACAATGCTCTTCCCCAAACTTATGTTCTCCAGCTCCTTCCTACCATGTGATCTGCATGGACGGCCACCCACCTAAGAGTGGCTCTCCCGACTGCTGCTCTAAGGCACCCCAGGGCACCCTCAAACCCCGTTTTAACTTTATGCACAGTGCTTGTTCCCATATGAGATTTCTCTGCTTATGAGAACAGGATCTGACCAATCTTGGTTGTCACCTCTTCTCTCCAGGGCCTAGAATGGGTAAGGGACTATATTGATTCTGTTGAATGAATGAAATAATTAATGGATTCTAAGAGGAGTACAAGAAAATAAGTATGCTCACTAGTAAAAACTTTAGATGCACTCTGAATTTTATTATAACAGATAATAATACTCTAATGCAAAGATAAAACTCCTTTTTTCCCAAATGTCAAAGAGTAGCATTCATAAAAATTTGCCATCTGGTGTCCAATGGTGTTTTCTCTATAAGTATTTCAAAAATAATCTATAATTTTTTCCTCTATCAGCTACACATATTTTTCTTTTTGAGACAGAGACTCATTTTGTTCCCCTCAGTAGAGTGCTGTGACATCACAGCTCACAGCAACCTCAAACTCTTGGGCTTAAGCGATTCTCTTGCCTCAGCCTCCCAAGTAGTTGGGACTACAGGCAGCTGCCACAACGCTCGTCTGTTTTCTTTGTTGCAGTTGTCATTGTTGTTTAGCTGGCCCAGGCCAGGTTTGAACCTGCCAGCCTTGGCGCATGTGGCCGGCGCCATAACCACTATGGGCACCGAGCCTATCAGCTACACGTTTTTATGCTTCATTTCTTAAGGAAAAAAATATACTCTCCTCATTTCTATGTACACCACAGTAATTCCTATCACCATAGCCCTGGGATAACCCAGACCAACCCAAATACTGGCACCTACAAGGAGGACTTGGGGTTGGGCCAAAATCACAAGGTGTCCCATTTTAGATGCAGATCTAGGTAACCAAAAAGAAGAAAGGAAAGTCCCCTTCATTCCGAGGACTCAGGATGGAGACACTGAGTTTGGATTCCTAATTTTAAACTAGAGGGATTATGACACATTCAAGAATCACCAAAGGATGCTATGGAGGAGGCCCCAGAGCAGTGGTTCTCAACCTTCCTAATGCCGCAAACCTTTAATACAGTGCAAAGGGGTCACGACCCACAGGTTGAGAACCGCTGCCCTAGAGGCTCTCCAGTTCCAAGCCAACTTTTACCCCTGAGGACAGGAGATGCAGAGAAGGGGAGAGGCCTGGAACAGGCCCAGAGGTCACCGGGCATGCCCACAGCCAAGCGTTCTTAATTGTCCCTGGAACACAATGACACTCTTCTGAGAAACAATCTGCGGGGCTCTATGTCTCAGCTTAGAGTAAGCCACTGAATGTGTACCATGCAGGGGACAGGGAGGCCAGGGTTGGAAAGGGCCAAAAAGTAAACATTTAGGATTTTCAAGCCATAAACTCTTTGTTTCAACTACTCAACTCTGCCTTTTTAGTTCAAAAGCAGACAAGACAATTCATAAGCAAATCTGCAGGGCTGTGTCCCAGTAAAACTTTCCTTACAAAAATCGCAGCAGGCCGTCTAGGCCAGGGTGCTGATGATGATCCTGGGGCACCGGCACTCTGATATAAGATTAATTTCTGTCTATTAGCAGAATGGGCCATTTCCTTACCTTACAAAGACACAGAGTATAAGAGGTAGTTTAAAACACCTAGATTCAGAGTTGGTTGTAGAATAATGGAGAAACCTTTGGTCAAAACACTCAGATCAACCCCCATTTCCATCCTTGCCACTCACTGCTGAGTGGTCAGTGAAGTCTCCACCTGCTCTGGCTTTGGCTTCCCAGGTAGAAGTGAGGACACTGACAGCTCACAACCCACAGCACTGGCTGTGGAGGCTCTGGGCATAGGGCCCCTCTCAGGCCTGAGCACTTCCGAGTGCCTGGCCAGGACTGGAGGGGAGTCTGAATGCAGCAGCGTGATGAAGGCTGCTGCAGGTCCCCATAGCTGACCATGTCAGCCATACCCAGCCCGTCCCTGGGGAGACATCCATACCCACTTTGTTGAACCCTGGCATCAACTACAAACTTCCCATCACTCTCCTTCTCTCTCCTCTGCCACACCTCCCCTCCCCCTGCAGAGCACACAGGGCCTAGGACAGCTCTCCGTGCAGGGCACACAGGACCCAGGACACTTCCCCTCCCACTGCAGAGCACACAGGGCCTAGGACAGCTCTCCGTGCAGGGCACACAGGACCCAGGACACTTCCCCTCCCGCTGCAGAGCACACAGGGCCTAGGACAGCTCTCTGTGCAGGGCACACAGGACCCAGGACACTTCCCCTCCCGCTGCAGAGCACACAGGGCCCAGGACAGCTCTCTGTGCAGGGCCAGCCCTAATCCCCCTATGCCCAACTGTAGTTTATCTCTGCCAGCAGGAGCCATGTGTGGCGTCCCCAGAGCTCCATGTGTTTTTAGGTCCCCAGCCTCAGCACATGCCAGTCCTCTGCCTGGTGCTGCCTTCCCTGAGAGCTGCACGGCACCTTCTGCTACATTTACTATCTGTCTTCCCCACTGAAGTACAGGCTCTGAGAACAGGATCTTCATCCTCTCCCTTCTTAATCCCCAGTTCCCACACCGTGGCTGGCAGAGGTAAGATCTCAAATGACAACTGTGGAACAAACAACTTGCTGAATGTTCCATTTGCCTGGAACGCCCTCCCCGGACTCATAAGCCTAAGAACTCCTATCTATCCACCGAGTCTCGACTCAAACATGACCTCTGTGAGGCAGCACCCGAGTGTCTCCGAGACCCAGGGGCACCTGCTGACTCTGGGGGCTCCCATGTCTCCCCGCACCTGCCGTCTCACTACAGACCGCCTGCCTCCCTCCCACCCACACCCAGAGCTGTAGCTCCTGCAGGACAGGACTTGTCCCTTCATCCTCGAACCCAGCTGGTCCTGAGTAGGTGTTACACTAATGCCTATTAAATGAATCAAGCAATTTTTAAAAGAGCTTTTTTCTGCACAAATATACCTGACCGAGGAAGGGACACGGTTCACAATCCCAGCTTTACCATCTCATTGTTCAGTGCTTAGTGCTAATTTGACCAAGTCTTCAACACCCACACCAGTAGTGACAAAGGAAAAAAAGAATAGTTCTTTTTGAAAAGATAACTTACCCATAATCCTCCAAGGCACAGCCCAGCAAAAGAAAAGTCAGCCCGATGGCCCCGCTGAAGGATAATGCCACAAGAGCTGTGAAAACAAAACCAGCATTTAAAGGTCCCAGATGAGTGGTCACCAGGGGCTGGAGGCGTCAGAGAAAATGGACAATGACTAATAACAGGTGCAAGGTTTCTTACGGGGCTGAGGAAGGGTTCTATAGGAATGTAGCACCGATGGTTTCACAACCTCATGAATACACACATACTAAAAACCAAGAAATGTTACACTTCAAAAAGGTTAACTTTATGGTATATGAATTCTATCCCAAAACTTTTTTTACTAAAAAAGTCCTCAAATTTGAGCAAATGCGGCAATTTGTTATTACTTTATTAATTGACATTACGTTTGACTAGCAAATGACTGCTGCTCTGAACTACCTGTCTGTCCCCAAGTTCATGGGCTAAAGCACCACTCCCCACTAGGAGACGCCATGAGGAGGTGGGGTCTCCAGGACACAATCAGGTTTAAAAGAGGTCTTGAGGCTGGAGTCTCTGTCACTAGACAGGTGTTCGCAAAAGAAGAGAAGGAGACCAGAGCTCTCTCTGTGTTCTACCAGGCAAGGACAAGAAGGGAACGTGGCCATCTGCACAGTAGGAAGCAGACGCTTAGGACACCAGGTCCCCATGCACCTTGACCACGGCCTTCCCAGCCTCCAAGCTGTGAGAAATAAATCATTACTTTTTAAGCCACCCAGTCTATAGTCACCCAAACTGATTGAGACAATTACCTATTTGTACCACTTTAAAATCACAAGGTAGAGAAAGATCTGAAGTGATCCCAGCTAATGTGGGAGTCCCCTGTGCACCTGCCAGAGGCCAGCTGGCCAGTCCAAGCAACTCCTGTGAAGGGACGTGCACTCCACCTGAGATAGGCTGTCTCACCGTGACTGAGATGGTCTCTCAGTGTTGAAACTTCCTTCCTTACCTCATATGGAGAACTGCTCCCCTATAAAAGTACCTTTGCCCCCCAAACTGCAGCACTTCAAGTATTTGAAGACTGCCTTCCTCAACTAAAATTCCCAACTAATCAACGTTTATTCTCTGCATCTGCAGGACACTCATTCCTGAGCGGGTAGGGACCTATCTGCCCTCTCTTGCTGCAGATTGAGAGATAGGCAGAATGTCAGGGCTGTGAAAAAACCCTGAACTGAGCCACAAACATGGATCAAATCTTAACTCTGCCACCAACTGCTGTGTGACTTTGGGTGGAAGCTGAACCTCTTTAAACCAGAGTTCTCACCTGTAAAATAGGAATAAGGGTGCCATTTTATTGTGTTTATGGGAATTAAATAACCACATAAAGTGCTTGGCAAAAGCACTGAGGTGTTCAGTAAATAAACAGGGACTGATGCAGGGACCTCTGTGCAACATTCCGTGATAAAAGTGTAAATATATACTTTGATATAAAGTATAGATCAAAAGCACAGGACACTATATTATCCAAATTTTCTTTTGGAAAAATCCATAACATAATGAATCATCAATGAAACTGATGAACATTTTATATTGCCTCCTTTTACTTTGAGAGGAAATATAGGGGAACTTTTATAGGAAGATCTCAAGGAGCTTTTTTAAAAAAACATCTGGGGCTAGGCATGGTGGCTTATGCCTGTAATCCTAGCATTGTGGGAGGCCGAGGCCAGAGGATTGCTGGAGGCCAGGAGTTTGAGAAGCTGCAGCCTACACCTAGCTATTGTCACCGTCTGCAGCTGCTTCACAGCCTCTGAGCTGTTCTGGCACCGAGGCTCACCAGCTCAATCTCCTAAACCATTTACCCAGCTTCAACCCTGGCCACTAACCTAAGGGAGCTTAAATTCCTGCTGAGAACAAGGTGTGTTCTTTCATGCTCTCTGCCCAGGGTCAGTGTTATTATTCTCTCCACTTGGAATGCACTCCACCTTCACCCCATGCTTTGCCAGGTGAAACCTCATTGATCCCTTCAGATTTAGTTCAAGAATCATCTCTTCCATGAAAACAGTTCCTCCTTCTCCCTGGGGCAGGGTCAAGCAATCCCATCTGTATTAGTCTCCTAAGGCTGTGGTTATAAAGCACCACAAACTGGGCAGCTTAGAATAACAGAAACTTGTTCTCTCCTGGTTTTGGAGGCCAGATTCCTGGAATACAGGTGTCAGAACCCTTAATCCCCCTGAAGGCTGTAGGGACCACCCTTCCTTGTCTCTCCCTAACTCCTGATGGTCACCAGACATCCTTGTGCTCTCAGCACCTGCATCCCTCCAATTTCTGCCTCAGTCTGCACATGGGGTTCCCCGGGTATCTCCATGTCTGATTTTCCCTCTTATTCAAGTAGAGACACCAGTCACTGGACTAGGGCCTACCCTATGCCAGTAACTACCATTTTAACTTGATTATACCTGCAAAGAACCTAGTTCCAAGTAAGGTCACTTTCACAGGTCCTAGCAAATTAGAACTTGAACATAAGATTCACAGTAACGGAATTACTTTGAACTCTGTCACCCAACAATAACGTCTTCATTACCTTTTTATTCCATATCTCTAACATCCAACAGTTCCTCAATAGAAGCTGAATTATTTGCAAAATGCTCCCTCCCCTTAGTCCTTTTCCACTTCACACGTTGTCTTCCTTTTATGACATAACAATTTCGAATACATTTGGTAGTTTCTGGTCATGCAGAACAAAGATGCTACTTCCATCTATTTTCTGCACTGGCTTCAAAGGCTGTTACACAGTGGACACCGTCCAAGTAAGCCACGTGCATTAAACTGATATCAAATATATTAGAGCCAGTCAGGAATAAGATACTGTGTTATCTACTGCTCAAGGATCCTGTCCTCAGATAAATTCACAGTGAGCACACATGTACACACACGCATGTACACGCACACCGTACACACGTTTACAGCCGATGTTGATTAATTGGAAAGACCTGTGGGTACAGAGTTTAAGGATGATAGAAACGCCAAGGCAAAAAACAAGTTAAGCTACTCTGTTGGAAAGGTAAGAAAGGGTACTGTTTCCTGCGAAAACAGCAGGGGTCTTCCTGCAACGCCTTCTGTCCCCTCTCTCTGAAGGCACAGGATAGATGAGGGGGATCCGCCGCGCCCTCCTGCCAACACCCTCTGCAAAACGGGCTGCACACACACACACACACACACACACACTCACCAAACGCACGTACTGCGCATCCTTCCGCACAAAGATACAGTGGGTACAGGGGAAGAGTGGACACAGAGGGCAGCGGGGTGGAAGCCCCGCCCACTCTAGCGCCACGTCGCGGGGACACGGCATTTCCGGGCGTGTTTGTCCCACGGACTTGCCCGCAGTCGGGGCTGCCAGCCGGAAACCTCCGGAACAAGGGGATGCAGCCCCCAAAGCTGAGAGCACCGCAGACAAAGTGCCCTCCAGAGACCGGGCCCTACGAGCAGGGCCAGGAGGAAGGGCGGGGGGGACGCGGAACAGAGCGGAGACTCGGTTAGACGCGCGGGGCAGAGACAGCTGAGGCCTGGGGCTGGGGCTTCCCCGCGCCGCAAGGAACAAGGAGGGGCTGGGGTAGCCGCTCCCGCCTGCGCCGAGGACGCAGCCCAGGCTGACCCGGAGCGTAGGGCCGGGATGTACCTTTCACTCCCGCCATGTCTCCCGCGCTGGGCAGCGGCTGCTTCCGGCTCCCACCGCAGCCCGGCCCCGCCCAAGCCAAGCCCGCGGCCGCCGGGTGGACCCGGAGCCCTCCCTGGTCACCCCGAGCCCCGCCCTGCCGGCATTGAGCCCGCCCACCTTAGTTCTAGTTTCGTCTCCGCCATTCAAAGCCCGCCTCTGCTGACCCAGAACTCCACCCGTGCCACTCAGAGCCCCGCCTCTGCCAGCATTGGGCCCGCCCATTCTGGGCCTAGTCCCGCCCCTGCCAGCCCAGAACTCCTCCCCCAGCATGTAGAACCCCACCTCTGCCTATCCCAACTCCACCCGCGCGACTCAGAGCCCCGCCTCTGCCGGCATTGAGCCCGCCCATTCTGGGCCTAGTCCCGCCCCTGCCACGCCGAACCCCCGCCCCTGCCGGCCCAGAACTCCGCCCCTGGCATGAAGAGCCCCGTCTCTGCTAACCCAGAACTCCGCCTCTGGCCCACAGAGCCCCGCCCCTCCCGGCTCAGAACCCCGCCCCTGTCTGACCATAACTCCGCCTCTAGTACACAGAGCCCCGCCCCGGTCTGTCCAGAACTCCGCCTCCAGCACGCAGAGCCCCGCCCCTGTCTGTCCAAACTCTGCCTCCAGCATGCAGAGCTCCGCCCCTGCCGCCCCAGAACTCTGCCCCCGGGACTCAGAGCTCCTTTCTTACTGGTCGTGATCCTCACCACTCAGAGCCCGCCGATTTGGTCTGGGCCTTGTCACTCCAGCCGGGTCTTAGCTGGTTCAGAACCGTACCCGGGTCGTAGACCTTCTCACCCGAGTTTACCCGGCGAGTCCCGGCAAGCGCGGCTCTCTGTGTCTGGAGAGTCCGGCGGACCGCGAGCCCTTCCAGCTCGGCCCTGCTGCCTGCGTGGACCTCGGCCCCGGCCCGGAGTCGGAGGAGGGGCAGGATGATCTGGCCGGCGGGAGCCCTCTGGACCTGTGGGTGTCTGCGGGGTGGGGGCTCGGACCCAGGGAAAAGACCGAGAGGCGCCGCGTTACAGCTCCGACCCTGCCCCCGGCGTCGGCTCTCTGCTGTAAGGAGCGGTTTTTCCTTGGTTCCCTGATTTATTTGCAGAGACAAAGACCACAAAAGCCTTTCTGTGTCCGAGGCTTTCCTGAGCCACTTTTTGTACGTTGGGCCTCAAAGCCTGCTGCAGGTAGCCATGGCCGGCGGCCGGTCCCAGAGCCCCCTACGCTTGCCTTCCTGCGGGGTGCGTACTTGTATGGGACACGCACCTGTGTAGAGAGCGCACCTGTCTGGGGTGCACACCTTCTGGGGAGCGCACCTGTCTGGTGTGCACACCTGTGTAGGAAGCGCACTAGTCTGGGGTGCACACCTGTGTGGGGAGCGCACCTGACTGGAGTGCGCACCTGTCTGGGGATCGCACCTGTCCGGGGAACGCACCTGTCTGGGGAGCAATCCGAAGGCTCCGTCCTCCAGGGAAGGCCCCAGGGAGGGCCGGGCTTGGCTGTCGCAGCCCTCTGGGGCCGTTCCCTCGTTCCAGCTGAGAACTGCTCCGAGGTGTGCCACGGTCCCTTACTCTGGTTTTTTCTCAGTTTTCAACAGGATTGAAAGAGAAAGGGGCCTGTGGGAGGCCCCTGCAAAAGCAAATTCTCCCTTTTTCAAAAATCGCACACTGATCATTTGAGCCTGTTCCTGTCCCAATAAATGAGTAATTATGTGTCAGTGTATTTTCCTAGCTCTCCTCACAGCGGATGGCGCACTCACTAAACATGGCGCTGTGAACCCCTGACTCCCCGCGGAAGCTTGGTGACCCGGGACTCCACCTCGGTGTTCTCTGTGGCCCTCAGTCTGCCCAAGGTCATTACAATGTATGCTGCTTTGGCTTAAGGATTATTTTGAGCTGAAAGCAAATGAAAAGCAGGTGCCACAAGAAAAGCTCTGGGCCTTCCCCTTACCTGCCAAAAAGTGGGACATAAATACACAAAGATGTCCCCACAGCAGACTCCCCTGGACCAGGAAGGACAAAGGAGAACTGCCGGGGACAGCCTTAGACCCAGGGAGCTGACATAATGAATTTTACTACCTAGCCTTTATCTACTGCTAGTTTCCATATGTTTATCTTCCTACAATTTGCTGCTCCTAGAGATTGAAGGTCCTTTTTCTTTATCTTGTAATTTCTTTAAAAATGTATCATTCCTCAGATAGTGACTAGTGAGTGTGGAAGCTGAGGTTAAGCCCCCAACTGTTCAAGTCTAGAGTCGATGGGCAGCATTGGTACTATTCTGCACAGGGGGTCTTATGCTCAAAGAAGGCCGGAATTCTCAGAGTAACTAGAAGTGACAGTGACCTCTTAACAGGGCATCAGATCCACTTGTTGAAATGCTTTTCTCCTACTTATCTATTCATATCTTGCATACAGTGTACTTAAAATATTGGCTGAATCAACAAATATTAATTAGCTTACCATAATAGGATCACCTTTCTCTATCCCAAGGACAAGATCTAGCCTCAGACCCCAGGTCTGGGTAAATTTATCCACATTTCCATTTTCTTAGGTAGGATTTACAAAGTCTGCCTCTGAAAGCTTTTTTTTTTTCCTAATTGAGTGAGAACATATATATGTATATAGATACAATAGCTCCCAGGGACATAAGCACACAGTGCAGGTGCCCGAGTGTCACATCTCCACTGGGCAGGCTGTCAGTCAGTGCCGCAAGGGGCAGGCCGTTAGTCAGTGCAGCACTGGTTGAAATCTACAGGGTTGGTTTTGCTTCGTAACTCTCCATCGCCCTTTCCTTTCCCACAGTTCTTCCCTTTACAAAACATACACTGCAAGTTTCTTTGCCATTTTATACAGACAGATCTGTCAGCTCAAGGAGATAGGACCAAAAGCCAAGCCACAGGGTCCCTGGGCTGCCTTTTCCTGCTCCTGGATCCACTCCCCACATAAGGTTTCAATGTGACTCCAGCCCCAACACTGACCTGTGGTGATACACTTTATCTTATTTACTATCTGTAACGATCGTTACTATTTATCGAGTACCTGCTTGGTAAGAGTTGATATAGACAATCTCTAATCCCTCCCTTGCAAAGTTGTTAGAATTCTTCTTTAAAGGTGATAAAATTAAGTTTGCTAGGCGTGGTGGCCAGGAGGCTGAGGTGGGAGGACTTCTTGAAGAAAGGAGTTTGAAACTAGCCTGCACAACACAGTAAGAGCCTGTCTCTAAATAAATAAATATTTTAAAATTAGCTGGGCATGGTGGTGCACACCTATAGTCCCAGCTACTCAGGCGGCTGAGGCAGGAGGATCACTTGGGCCAGAAGATTGAGGCATCAGTGAGCTGTGATCATGCCACTGTACTCCAGTCTGGAAGACAGAAAGAGACCTCATATCTTAAATTAAAAAAAAAAAAAATCAAAAAAGGACTCAGAGTTATGAAACTTGTCCAATGTAATAGTCTATAAATTGAAAAACCAGGATTCAAACCCACTCTTTTGCAAACCAATAGGTAAACTATGCCCGAATACCTGGTTTATCTTTACAATAATCAAAACCTGTTTCAGCTTGACGTACATTCCCTGATGGGCGTTTCTAGCAGGGAAGCTAATCTGTTGCTGAGATAGCTGTTTCTGGAAATTCATCTTTTTTCTTGTTTTGTTTTTGATTTGTTTGTTGGGGGGGGGCATTATTCCTGAAGGTGCCGAGTCCCACGTGGTGGCAGAGCCAGCTCCTCTGCTCTCTACCTTCTCCAGAAATCCACTTACTATACACACTGTCTGTGGATAGAGGACATGTCAGACATTAAACTGATAATTTTATTACATCTGGCGTTAGCTAAATGGCAGAGAAGCTACTGAAACACAACCTTCACATTCACGCATTCACACACGGTTTCACTGGCAGCTGTGGATAGCACGGTGATGGCTCAGATGCTTTAGATCTGCAGCTTTTATTTCCAAGTGAACATGCGGCTTCTGTCCTCAGAAAGTGAAAATATCTGGGACTTTGTTTCTAATAAAGTCCCAGATTCCTGGGATCAATCCCTTTGATATGACACATAAGTACACTTTTGAAAATCCATTAATATTCTAGCTGGGAGACTGGAATTCTATGTTGATTCTTTTTGAAACATAATATTCATGCAGCATAATCGAAAGTGCATGGGCGCAGGTGTGTGTGTGTGTGTGTGTGTGTGTGAGGGCAGAAATGATGAGTGTATGAACCCAGAATCCTGTCAGACTACATTTCAGTACAGATGCTATTACATGCTTTTCACAGTCTCCCCTTCCAACTTTCTGTAAATGTGAATCCCATCAGAAGATGCAATTCAAGCTTATCATCATATTCCTACAGGTACAAAAATGATGGAGGCATCTACAAATATTTTTTGAGCCTTTTAATATACATTACAAATATTTTAGACCAATCACATTTTGTTGTAACATATTTACAAAACAAAAAATATATTACAATAAATATGAATGAAACAGTGAATCTGACCAACAATAAGCTGTGTCACGACCAGATATTTAAAAGGAATGCAAAACCCGTTGGTCTGCATGTGTTAAGAGTTTTGAGATAAATAGGAGTCCAGATTTATAATGTATCCGGAAAAGAGATGTGGGGAAGCCCCAAATTTAAGTGAAGTAAGATTCTTTCTCATTACTAATTACATAAGGTTTAATGATGAAGGATGAACATTGATGGATGTTCCAAATGTGATACAAAGCTAATGTAGTGCTATCATTTCAAAATGTACATGACACCCACAGAATATCCTCTGAATAATTATCATTATATACTGTAGTTCACACAGTATCTACAAGTGCGAATGAGAAAAAAACAGGTCACAGCAACATGTCTCACATTCCAATTTTAAATAAGACAAGCACGTACTGGATCAAACATTATTTTATAATACGTTAATAAATAACGGTTTGTTATGGTTACCTTGAACAGTTACAACTATATATTTAAAAAGAGAACATGTTATGCAAGTTTCAGATTGCCGGTAAAATAAATAATGAAACTTTATAACAAAAAAAAAAGAGAGAGCGAAAAAGATCTATCTGGAACCTAAATTATTTTTGACATGCCGCTTTTCCGGTGCTATTTGCCACAAGAAAATTAAAACAGAAACAAAAAACTGATCGTCTTTAAAAACAACTTTTCACAATATTGAGCATGGACCGTTTGAGACTAACATGGAAATCTTCTTGCCCCCTCTGCTTTGCATATATGTATGTATAAAGTGCACACTGTGTGCGTGTGCACCAGAATCTACCAAAGTCACAGGACAGCAAACTGCTCATCCCTCCAAATGAGAACCAGACAAAACACTGATCTCAAATCCAACCAGGGTAAGGTCTGGAAAGGTTTCGTTCTTACTTTGCCAACACAAATGTCCCTGTGTGAATGTTGTTCCTGTGAATCCCCAACTACGTTAAACACAATAAACCACACTGTAATAACCCCAGGGGTCTAGATTCACATGTGGGGAGGTGGGACCTGGTTCCTTGAACCATATGACAGGATCTGAGGTGAGCACAGACAGCTCCCTTGCCACAACCTGGCCTTTCTCAGACTCAAGTTCCATCTCATCATCTTCTGCTCTCTAAGCACGACCACTCAGAGAACCTGAGAACACTGAGTCCTGACTCCCTACTGGTCCTGAGAATTGTAAATGGACTGAGCTGCTTTACAACCTGTTTCTAGCAAGAACAACCTGTTTCTTGGCTAAACAAAAAGAAGAGCATTGAGCTTTACAGCAAAATTAGAAGTTTCTTCCAAATCATGTTTAGAGTTGTTATAGTATGAAAACTTCTTCTCTAAGCAACCACAGTTTTCCAAAGGGTCAGGAAGATAGCCCAATATCCTGACCAGGAATAGAGGTTTCCACATCTTCAGGGTTTCTACTTTCTGTAGCCAACATTTTCACTAATTTTTTGCTCATCTAGAAGGAGTTGGTGGTGATCACTGTACTGTAGTGTAATCACTTTCCACGATTCAAATTCTTTCACATTTGCTGTCCTCCTGACCAAACAATATACACAGTATTATGCTAAAAGCCTTAGTAAATTTCTCTTAAAAAAAAAAGAAAAATCCTTGGTGGCTATGTTCCTAGATTCTGCATAAAGCCGCTGCTGAGATTACATCTTTCCAAGAAAATCTAAAAAGCATTATTTTAAACCATCATATCATTCCATTATCATAACTTTTGCTCATTAATCCTATCCTCAGACAATGAGATGGGTGTTACACCTTCCGGGGTGGAGGCTGCTGCTCTTCATCTCCCCCAGGCAGAATGCTGAGCAGTTCCCCAGGACCAGCGTGGACGCTGCCACTCTGCAAGTCCATCCCACTGAAAGGTCAGAAAGCTGCCACTCTGCAAGGCCATCCCTCTGAAAGGTCCTCTCCTGTTTGGGATATTTTATGGCAGGGACTTGGAGAAACCAGACATCCACACTGTTTATCAATGAGAAATTAATTCACAAGGTATTTTACAGTTTAGTGCTGGAAACACATTACTGAAGTTCTGATTCACTTCAAAAACCTCAGAACTATGACATATACAGTGTCAGCAAAGTCTGCAGCACAGGTAACGAGCTCACGGTTTAATACAAGGGCTTCTGGCCTTGGTTTTCAAATTCAGACCAGGCATCGTTTAGCTCCATGAAAATCATCTTGGCATACTGTTCATAGGGCTGCCCGGTAGCCTATGGAAAGAACAAAAAACACACATTAGATACCACAGACCAAAATTTTACTTATGTTAAAATGTTCACTGCAAACATGTGCAGTGATTGAAATGCTTTTCTATTTGGCCATTTCTCAGCCTAATCCATATGGCCCTGTGGCCTCCCTAAAATGTGCTCACCCTAGGTATTCACACAAGGCAGCAGCGATTGGCCAGTGAGCAGATAACAGAGTTTAGTGGGCAGCAGACGACACCTCTCTGTTCTCCAGAAGTATCTACCAAGTGACAAACTTTAACATAGCCTATCTCCACTGAGACTGTATTTCTAAACTCCAGTTTTCTCATTTCTAAGAAAAGTTAAGTTCTATGTGATCCACAACAGTGGGCCTAGAGTTTGTAGATTTTTCTGGGTTCTTATTTCTTTTTAGATTCATCAAAATTCAAGGACTAACATTGTTTCTCATTAACTCATCCATTCAGACTAGTCACAGTGTGAAGGGATGAAATCAAGTTCAAGTGTGAGCTCCCACGTGGGACTTCCCTCTGAGCTTCAAGTCACATGACTGGGACAGTCCATCTGACACACAGACAACTCACTTCCATCTGAGCTGTTTCTATGTATTGAAACTGTCAATATTAAAATAATGCAGAGCTACAATGTATAAATAATAATCAAAAATCTAATTTCTTGCTAATAATATTACCTACACTTGAATGAATTAAAGATAGGAAAAGAGAGCAGGTGCAAAGGAAATAACAAGTCACCCCGCCCACAGATAATCATCCCGGGGGCAGGTCACAGGTCCAGAGATGCAGGGAAGCAACTTAGGCTGAGAGTCTGGCTGCTTATGTGTGTAACATACAGACCTCTCTGGGAGAAAGAACTTCTGACCTTCACTTTTCGTGATGCAAGATGTTCATGTAATGTTCTTACAAGCTAAAACGGGCGACCTAAAACACTGATTCCCCCACAACTTGTCCATTCACATTAATTATATTAATATTTCAGTGCCAGGGAGGTTCTGCCCTGGAAGCTTTTTATCTCTGTCCACACAGTTGACATAGCTCTCATGTGTAAGAGCCTCCCTAACATGAATTCACTGATGCTTCCCAGGGTCCAGTCCCTGAAGACATTTCCATACTCAACACTTGCAGCATTTCCCCTCCATGTGAATTCTCCAAAACTGAGAAGAGCTGGAGATTCCATGGAAATGAGTGCAAACTCAGCATCTCTGGGGTCTCTCCATCATGTGCACACTCGG